TGTAAATTTGCATATATTTTTCGTGCTGTTGCAGCTAGCTCTCAGGAAACTGGGCAGACCTCGTTTAGTAATCTCGTTCGTTAGAGCTAGCGTAATGATATCTATGTATTTAAATCAAGAATGTTGTTTCGTGTCTTAACTTGCCAAGTTTAAAATGTTTGAAAAGTAATCAGAAGTCAGACTGTCTTCGTGTTACCTGCGGGCATCGTTGTAGGGGGTGCTGGAGCTGTTGTCGGAGGAGGTGGTGGAGTTCTATTTTCCAATGCTTCAACTCTATTCAAGAGATCTTCAATCAAGGAGCAGGCTTCAAAAGGACAGAACAAAATGATGGTGAAAGAGTCAAGATACGAAAGCTCTTTCCTGAGCTTTACTCGAATAGCTCAAACATACATATACAGGATTTTACATGGTCGCACATGGATACGAATTTCATATTTTCGACTGCTGATACTGCCTTTTACGAGAGAGCTTAGGTTACCTTAGGTCACCAGCTGGTTACCATGCAGGACGACTTTATTATCTTTGCTTGTTAACAAGAATACATAAATGTAAGTTCAATGCACATGGTGAAGATGTTATTTTTGGAAACACGAGATAAATTTGTAATTCACCAATATCTACATAATAAAGTTCACTGTGAAGGGTATTACGTCAATGTCACATTAAATATGAGATCAAGATTTGTTAGTATTTTAAACATTCTACAGCTATGTACAACTTGCCAATGTTATACGTACATTGGCACTCTTCCAATGCTTTCACCCTGGCTTGCAGTTTTTTTTATTTTCTTTCCTCCACCCATGACAGGTCTGCTTCCTTCCATCAAAATCAGCACAAGCAGTGAGACAACAAAAATGGATCTCATTTTGGCTGGACTTAAGATCTGTGGAATAGATAAATTGAGCCACGACAACATTTTTTTCAATTCTCGGTCAGCCCCAATCTGTAGCCAATATCCTTCCTTTTCATTGAGAGAAAAAAAGAAAACAATAATAAAATAAAATTTAAGATACGCTACAGAATTAATAAGATTCACAGCTCAGCTACTAAGATCATTCCATCCTTCGCCTCCGTAATTTTTCATTGGGAGTATTGTTTCTTCCAATTCGAATTTGAGTTCGCAAAATGTAAAGGAGCGTTGCGTTATCGGATTATTACGAAAGCACTGGAAAAAAATGTAAGTTCTCATCTTATCAGTAGAAAGAGATTATGTCTAGCTAACCAAAATTGGGACTTTTGCCTTTCATTACATGAACGTATTTTGGATCGCAAATAAATATTTACTGTAGTTCATTAGAGAAAAACGAACGAAAGCGACTATGAATTACTACGAAAATGAAATCAGATTTTAACAAACGAGAGAAACGAAAAAAAAAAAAAATAATCATCATCAGATTAGAAGATCGGATGAGGAGCTTCTTCGTGTTTGTTTGTACCAAACTTGTGGGACGCTCTACTCTCAGTCGTCAATTCCTTGTTTTAGTATTTATCGGCCACATTCACCACTTCAGGAACTTAGCACACTCTTTCCTAAAAACCTATCGCCAGCTCCATCACCACGTCTCCTATTTCACTTATCACCTAAACGTGAATGACCATGTGTGATGTCAGGCAACTAATCCGTGTTGGTTGGATAATTCGGATTCGAGCGAAAGAAGCATCTATTTCGACACGGTATAAAATTTGCTCATCTTCAGTTCGATAATCTGCCGCCATAATGGGACATTGTAAATTGAAATATATAAATTTGCAGAAATGATTATATCAAACTGCAGGAATTCATCCTAGCAAATAGCGCTACGCCGTTGACCTACTAACGTGATCAACAATTTTTTGCTATTTACCCACACCAGATTTTGAAATATGGCAAGTTTTTTACTTTGGATCGATGGATTGATCTCTTCAGTTTACAAATTTTCGTTGAGGAAGCTGTAAGAGACATGTTACCTTAAGACTGGAGATAGGAACCTACCAGTAACGTTGTAGAGAACAGTGTCTTTCAACAGGACAAGATAGATTGTGCAGATGAACGAATTCGAAGATGCGCCTATATATAAGGTTAACTGTTTAAGATATGAA